TATATATATATATACATATATCGGTTCTTCAGGGTAGGACGGTCCTCAGCGTCAGAGGCCTCCTGCTTCGGGGGTTTACCAAACCCTAAACCCTCATGAACTGTATAAGAGTGTCTTGTAACATGACTCCTTAGGGTCCCTTGTCATAGCTGTGGTACCCTGTAGTACATTTGATCCCAAACCCTATTCTAAGTATACCCAATTACTAAAGCCCCTATGCTACGGTCCCTACAAGTTCAATTGAGGCTCTGGAGCCTTTGTCTCTAAAGCCGTACTGGATGGAGCCCGGAGGTTGATCACGACCAAGATCATGATGCATTGAAGGAGTCGACTGAGGACGTTGCAGACGAACTAGGCCCCGGGGGGGGGGGGGGGGGGGGTCATAAAATTGAAGGTTCTTGGCGGGGGTCTCCTCATAAGAGAGGTCGCGATAGGATCCTACTAGTCAGGGTTAGGGCCACTTGGGGTTCAGGTTGGGGCATCCTTACAATAACAGTAACAATACCAAACATAAAGTAATAAGAATAACAGAAATAATAGCAACAGCAGCAGCAACAACAATAATCACAATAACTACAACGATTATAGGAATGTTTCTAACCATGAGAATAGAAATGGAGAAGAATAAGGATCGGGATCATAGCATAGAATACAAGGTTTAGGGTGTAGGGTTTGGGGATAGTAATCCTGCTAGGGGATCCTACTACTTACGGTCGATTCTGGATCTCCCCAGGTTTGAATGAGAGGACCGCCAACGAGCTTCTGGAGGAGCGCACGGAGGAGCCTTAGTAGCAGAGTAGGTCAACCTTTTTGAGATAAGTAAGTGCATAAACGATATCATAATAACATGCAGCCATATATAAACAGTGTTTATATATATATATGTACACACGTACTTACATATGTACACAGCCCTTCCAAAATTAGAAGTTTCGACCTTTTGGGGGCCCATGGGAAATTCAGCGACTGAGGAAGGCGAGACGCTGGCGACGACGCCGTATGGCATCAACCCCAGCGAGAATCGCAGCCCTAGCGCCGTGCAGACTTGAACACCCTGAGCCGTTTCAACTAGGGGCCTGACACATAAAGCCGATGTAGCAGGAGTAGTCACTGCACCTTAAGTTGCTGTCATCATCACCATTATCATCACTTAATTGCTGGGCCTTGGGGCCGTACTGCAACATATTTTTACCGGACTAAAGGAAGATGTTGAGGCTCCTTTTTCAGCTGAGACTGGGCTGGCAAGGCTTTGCATGGGTGTACTTTAGATTCAACAGTATTGACATGTCGTTGAGGATGGAGACATGCGCCAGCTCAGAAATCAGCCATCTGGATTTGTGAACATTACGGGGGCCGCCGCGGCTTCGCAACAGCTCTTGCTTTCGTTCAGGCATTCAGAACCAAGGCATATAGACCTTACAGACCGACACGTATCGCACAATCTGACGTTTTGTTCCTGTGGAGCCGGACAATGCATGCAGGTTGCTTCTTGCTTGGCATGCGACCATTTCAATGCCACTGTTTCAAAACTTGGCGAACACCGCCTTCCCTGATGTTTCTGAGCGTCTAGCTCACGTCTCTGCAGACACAGTCGCTGCAGCCCTATTTTTAACAAACGACTGCAGGTTGTGTGTCCTTGGGAGCAGCCTCTGCTGTCGAACCGACCGCGGTGTGTGCAGTGAGGGCCTTTGGATCATCGGCTCTTTCCGTTTTGGGATTTGAGAGCGCGTGGTTTGGTAGTCGGGGCTTGCTCCAGCAGTGGCCACCTTGTGGCCAGCCTTGGTATAATGTGCATCTGTATGCGTCTTTTTTGGGGGGTCACAGGCCTGGTGTGCAGGCGGGAGGAATGCACATTATCCCAGTCTCCCTGTGTTTGAAGGACCGCAATGGACCGCATCAGCAAGATGCGTGCCGTACATGTGCCACAAGTAAACATCCGGAAGTTTGGGAAAATCGACGATTGCGGGAGTACAAATGAGCCCTGAACTCTCAACTCTCGACCCCTAAAGTTCAAAACCAAAACCATTTATAAGCCTAAACCTTGAACCCTTATAGTTCCCTGCCATGCGAAAGCCCCATTCCTCGAGCCCCCACATGGGCATAAAGTAATTAGCGAAAGCCTAGCCGTTCTTGTATATAGGGACAATTACTTCCTTGAATGGTTTTTTTTAAGGAGCCCTAAACCAGGAACACTAAACCTCTACACATGCCATAAAACAGTCGATTGCGCAGGACCCGCTGTTCGAACACCGTCGACTGACGAAGCATGCAGTACGACAGATTAGACCCAAAGCTTAGAAACTTCGTATTTATAGGAGTGCATTCAGGCTCAGGAATACAGTAATATAGGGGCTTTCCAGTGCCAGTTTGAGGTTCTGCGACATCGTCAGACCTATCACCCTAAGCATTTCAACGAGTGTGAGCGCCGAAACATATCAACCCTGCCATCCCTAAACCCTTATCCCTACGCCCTAAACAGCCCTGTATGACACGCTTGGGAGGAGCTCTCAGAGCTAGTCGCGCAGAAGGAGCAGTCCCTCAAAGAAGCGGAGGAGTCAAAGGCCGTTCTGACCTCGCAGTCGCTCCGCCGCAGTCGGAGATGTGTTTCCCAGAGGCTCCATATATACTACCATTATGGAAGTAGGTCCCTAAAACCATAATAAAGGAAGGTCTTTTCGGGCCTAATTCCTTAATGGTAGTATACTTGGAGCCTCTGGGTTTTGGATTTAGAGCAAAATGTGCCAGTGGGCTGGCTTTGTATTTTGTTTGCACGCTGACTTCTGCGCGAAGGGTGATCCTACTATATACTTGTACATCCGATTTGCCAAACCTCCTGATCTTGGAAGTATACTTGAATCTACTAAGGTCAGGATACGTGGTTTGGGCCAATATAGGAACATGTGCTACCACACGTCTCGTCATTATAATATCAGGGCACTTCTACTATGAACCTCATTACCGCATAACCGGAATCCTAAACGCTGACAAACGGCAACGCTCCATGGAGCGGACCCCAAACTTAGTCTTACGTCTCTATACAGGGGGCTAGCTGTTGCCTGAGGTCCTTCAACTGACATGCGGCAGGACTCCTCCAAGCTGTGCATTATTAGACTTACAGTTGGGTCCTAGAGAGCCTAAACCTTCAGCCCGAAGAGGCCAAAACCACTCTTTGCCCTACACCCTGCATTGCGAGCCCGACTAAGGCCCTCCATACAAACCTCGCCGTACAACCCCAAGCCCTGAAACCCTGAACCCCAAACCTAAACCCCAAACCCTGAAACCCTACACCCCAAGCCCTGGAACTCTGAATTTCGAGTCCTAAGGTTGGCAGAAGCGACGGAAGCCAACGAGTCCTCCACATCAGCCAAGCTGGCTGCTGAGAAGGAAGCCGACATCTCGGATGAGGGACCAAACGGGGGTTTAGGGTCTCGTAATCGCGGGGGATTGAGGTTTCATAAGGGCCGGCATAAGTTTTCTATCTCGGATGAGGGAGGGCGTCTCTTAGTAAATAACATAGGGTTACAGATCTACCATGGCTTTCAGGATCGCCAGAGGGTTCTATCTCGGATGAGGTTTCATGTTGGGGTTTCTCATGACTTAAAGTCTTATCAAGTAGATTTGGGTTGTAGTTCGTTTGGTTAATTGTTGTATAGAATGGTTTTAGTATAGGTTTCTGATATAGCGGCTTCAATAACAAGGAATACTATTCCTGTAGTTACAGAATATTGGCAGGGTTCCTGTAAAAGTCCTTCGACGGGCTACTATAACGCGCTTTAGTTGCAACAGAACTCCTTGGGGTTTCGTTTAGTGCAGTTATAATTTGCGGCCCCTATATTAGTGTGGTTTGTTCTTCTGCACGTGCCTGCACATGGCGTTTTGATGTCTAAGTAAAAAATTACATTTTGCTTGTTTGGTTTATTCATAACCCAGGGTTTTACGATTTGGGGTGCTTTTGTCATAGATGCCTCTTAACAAAAACAGTGCTACTTAACCTCTGAAGAGGTCTGGGGCAACGTTTATCCGGGTTGAGGGGTCTGCGCCTAAGGTTTTATTAGGGTTCCGGCGGATTTTCAGCTGAGACAGTTGCTGCGATCACCGGCAAAAGACCCCCAAAAAAAACCTATGCAGGGTCTTGTCTGTGTTTTGGGAGATGAAGCGTGTAATTTGGGAGGGAGTCAGAGGGCGGGGTCTGCAGTCAGGAAGCACGGTTGAGACGAACCCAAGGCCTTTGCCTGCACACTGCAACTCACAAGCCCCAGCACCGACTACCCCAAGCAACAACATTGCCTAATGTTGCAGGAAGTTTAAGCCGGTCGAGAAACTGAGTACATAAGTGAGGTTGATAGCCTGGGGCTTATCTTAAGTTGTATAGCATGCAAACAAGTCAACACTAACTCAACACTCAACACACCCCCTGGGCATCAGAATAGTCTTTGTACCCTAAAACCTAAAGCCCAAACCCAGCATCCCTGCTCTGTCACCTGGTCAGCAAAGCGGGTGGGAAAAATCCATCACTCTAAAGCCTAGACCCTGTAAACCGTAAACCCCGAAACCACACCCTAAACCTCTAAACCATAAACCCCAAACCCCTAAACCATACCCTAAACCTCTAAACCTCCCAAACCCGTAAACCACACCCTTAACCTCTAAACCTTCATAAACCCTAAGACCAGCCTCTCCAGGTGGAGGAGTTGAAGGAAGCTCGGAAGCTGCTGCAGGACTCTCTGGTTCTTAGTAGGGAATGGGGGAATGGATCCCTATGATAGTCCCTTAAGGTCCCTTATAGTAGTCCCAATAACCCATTCCCCCATTCCCTAAACCCTAAACCTCTTATAGTAGTCCCAATAACCCATTCCCTCATTCCCTACTAAGAACCAGTCAGAGGAGCAGCTCCAAGAAGCGCAGGAGGCCTCGCAGCGCTTGGAGGCGCTGACACCGAGAGTCTGATGGGTAGCTCAGTTTAGGGTTTTGAGTTTAGGGTTTAGGGGTAGTTCTCTAAATTAGGGTCCCTTTTGGGGTCCTTGTTTTAAGAAGGGTGCCGTACTAGGTCTGGGGCCTTTAAGGGCAAAGGGTTTGGGCTTCATTCAGAGTTAGCAATTAAGAACTATCCTTTGCGAGGGGGTCCTAGGCATAGAGGTATTGGAGCTCCCAGAATAGACCCACAGGGTATAAGTACAGGTTGGTCTTGAGAAGCTGCGCTTTTCTGACGCCCCCTGCCCGACCTGTCGAACAACCCCGATGCCTCCTAAAGTTGACGGTTTAGAGTTTAGGGTTTAGGGTGAATCTGGGGCTTGTGTCTTGACACTTGGGCCTTAGGATTCCGAGCAGACATGAGTCTTCAAACTTATGAACGAACCTGAACCCCATATAAGCCCTCGACGCCTTAACATCGAAGCCTTAATATTAAGATTCAAGATATGACAAGTATGCTATCAAGGAGCCCCAATCTCCATTCTAACTCTAAGATTACGAAGGCCCCTAGATTCAACACTCGACCTTCACCACCACCC